CATCTCTTGCACTTGTCGCTCCACTTCGCCTTCCAGATGACATGGAACTCTTCGCGTTAAAAATGACCTTACTTTCGGATCACTTAACGGAATTTCATGATTCACCTTATCGCAATAACCGTATGGGTCGCCATCTCCAGTGAACAGATGATCGTATTTATTAATTAACTCTGTCACATTGTGTACCGTCGACAGCTTAATCGCTGCTATCTCGCTGGTCTCATACATGTTGATATGCCCGTATTTCGTGATCACCACGTTCGCTTGCGTGTCGATTATTGCACCAATCTCACGCAGAAAATCCGCTCCTAATATCGTTCGCTGTAGTTCGGGTACAACAATGAAAGGAAACGTCACCTCGCAGCCACCAACAACGACCGTACAGTTCGATCTACCCGTGATACGCAACACATACCCGCCTACTGTTTGTACTGTCAATGAACACGGACTAACACTCTTACATAAATTCTTATCTATTAACGACACGGCCGCCCCTGTATCTATCAAACATACTACTTCTCGATCATTCACTCGCAACTTCGAATACAGAGCCCCTTTCTCAATAGCCCCCACTAAATCTAGGTTCATACGAAAGAAAGAACAAGCATTATACCGTCTGAAATTTTTTCTTTTTCGCCTTTCTGGGCAGTATCTTCTCCAGTGTCCCGGCTTACCGCATTCAAAACACCGGTCTTTTCTATCAGCCAACTTTAACGCCGCCACTTCCCGCTGCAATGCTTCAATTTTCTGCTCATATTCGTTTGGTTTTGGTTGGTCTATAGCGGCTACCGTTGTGCTCAGCAGCTGTCTGGTCACCTTCGCCAGCTCACTAATATCCATCGGCTGCGTTGCGTTAACCAGTTGTAATCGCTGAGAAATGTGGTCTGGGACACTCTCGATGAATTGGGAAGACAGTAACTGCGCTTCTGATTCTTCATCTAAAGTGGGAAGCGCGCGTCGAAGTAGATTAGTCAGTTTCACCGCCAACACTAGCGGGTCTCCATCAGGTCCAAGCTTCATTGACCGGAACTGCTGCATTGCTAGCTGTCTGTCTGTTTCGCTGTCAAACTCGGACACTAGTCGTTCAACCAATTTCTTCCAAGACGCTGTGCCATTTGACCTGTCTACGCTGTCATATGCAGCCTTCGCTCGGCCTCTCAACAGCGTCCCCAGGACAACTGCCTTCGCCGCCTGCTCCTTGACACCCACCAGCTCAGCAACGGCCTCGAAGTCACGTAAGAAGCTCCGTATGTCTCCTTCTTCAAACGCAGCTGGCCACGGGATCTTCATTTTTTGGAGGCAGCGACACCAAATGTAACAACAGAAGACAAGGGCTGGCAACAGATCGTTTTATTACGAAAATCAACACGTATTTATATATATTTTATGTGCATTAATAAGGCTTATGCAAGCAGAAAAAGGCAGTCTTCTGATTGGTTGTTTCTCGGAAGTTAAGCAGACAAACACAGTCTTATGATTGGTTGTTTTCGATATTTCTCGGAAAGTAGAGCCATCTATCTGCGAATCATATTTGTCCACATTTAAGTTTGCTGTGATTGGTTGTTGAAACAGCCTTGTTCATATTTTCTCACGGCCCATATTAGTGACCTAGACATTAACGTAGATTAGTGTCAACCAATCGGCTAGCAGCCTGCTCTCACCACACTATTGTGATGTTTTGTTATGACATTTATTCTCAGACTTCGTTCACGATAACTTTAAGGTTGGCTCTGTATTGTTGCAAGAAGAAAGGATTCTTGAGTCACCAATCTGTGTTCTGGTTTTTCGCCTTGGTTATTGGACATAGTTTCTGAAGGTGTTCTTAGGACAGCGTGAAGCCCAGTGTAGTTAGACCTGGACATTTGAGAACAAGTATTTCTAAAAACAATTATATTAGCAACCACAACTTTTAATATCTTACATATATAAACGTATAATTAATGATACACTGCTGTTTTTTGTGTTAAAACCATTTTACTCAGTCGATAACCACCTCTTCTCATATGTTTGCCCAAAATGTAAATTTTATAACATTTCGAAGTATTTTGACTCAGCACAAGTTGAAGTTACTTTGCAATGTCTGACGCATACCATATGGAAATCGGTCATGAAAATTTAGCATAACAATTTCTGTTAACCAGCTGTTTTCTTCAGGATCGTTCTACACAACTTTATCGCTAAATGTTCCACGATTTATTTAATCCTGCCAAATAGACTATAACTTAGTTGATGTAATACTAGCTACTTCTATACTTGATGAACTTTTAAAGGAAACTTAATCTCCTAGTCGTTTGCAACAAATGCTTATGTGCATGTATGCATATATAAAGGTTATATTGCTAAGAATGACTCCAGGTATCGATGTTTAGTACTTGTTATTATTATCATCCGTGATGACTTAAATATTCCATAAAACATCGAAGAGATCATGCGATGAATGAGACAGTCTGTCAATGTAGTTGAAGATCGAACGATCGACTCATGTTTGTTTGCTCAACCCCAACTCTAAATTTTTCGCGGGAGTCATCAATACGGCAGTCATCGTCTCATCGTTTGCTCTTCGGTGGAAGAGAGAAAACTATTAGAAACCTTGTGTATAATAACCTTATGGTTCGTCCTATATTGGTGCAAGAATAAAGGACTCTTGAGTCACCAACCTGTGTTCTGGTTTTTCGCGTTGATTATTACACATTGTTGCTGAAAGTCCAAGGACAGCGTGAGGTTCAGCGTAGTAAGACCTGGATATTGACACAGGCTTTTGAATTTCTTGATGATGATATCTATTTTGATGATTTTCCTGGTTAAATTTGCTTAGGTGAAGATGTGGTACTAGTTTTTTACATTTGCAAGTGTAATTTCAGAAGACCATAATTTCTCACTGCATAAAATATCATCAGATTATGTTGATGTCAGTGTACATCGGGTGATGAATCATAGTATAGGTGGTCCTTCTAAAATGTCAGACTATTTAAATTTGATATCATCTTTCTGTCGATTAGTAGCTAGCAGCTGTGTCCTACAACTACTACATCTGTTTCATAAGCTATACCAGTCTTAATAATCATTCGTTTTCAGATTACTAATATATTCTGAGATCCTTAATTAATTACTTGTGGCTATGAAGGATACGGAAGACGCACTTAGGGCTCATATCTTTAAAGCAGTTATTATTAAACAAGTTATCTGTAGGGATTTTGTGGTGTTCAAGTTACAATGCTTCAGTATATGTAGTGACTGCACGCTTCTGTGCATGAGGGAATGTTGGTAAAAATGAAGATATAATGAAGTTTCCAATAGTGTCATTGTGAAGTGTTTACAAGTTAACACTTATCATAACCTGTTCTAATTACTCGTAGAATAATTGAACGACTTAAACTGTTGAAAAAGTATTAATTTATGTTACTTCCGGGTTGCAATTCATGGGGATAAAACTCACCGTTTGTGCATATTTGTTGCTTCCTCAAATTCTGATTGCTGTGGTTAATAACAAAAGAGCACCAATGTTTGATGAATTTATATTTCGTCGAATAACTCATAATTTGCATGGCAAGACAAATACAGTAGGCAATAGAATTGCAAATATATCTTATTCCATGGAGTCTCCAGCTCCTTCTTGTATATATCCTGTAAATGTACTTCCAGTGATGTATTATTCACAATTCTTTTTTGACGTTTTGTGGTTTTTCAGCATGATCTTCTCCTTCTGACATATCTTTTAATCAGGCAGCGGCACTACACTTACCCAAATATTCTCTGTTCACAGATTAAGCATAGCTATCTGCAGGAAACGGAACGAAGTTTGCGATTTCGATCATTTTTCATGGTGACCTGACTGAAGGGTTTGCAACTTAAAATTTATGCGAACCCGTTCTGATTGCTTGCACAATAATCGAACTATTTAAACTTTTGGAAATCATTGATTTATGATACTTCAGGATCGCGATTCATAGCAAAACTGATAATGCCTGTAAAAATGGCATGTATCAGCCACGTCTCATGAACCGTTAATGCCGAGCTCTTGCTGCACTCGGTTTCACGCTGTTCCTTGAAGTTACTCAGAAACGCTTAGTAATAACGGACGCAAAAACCGAAACACCGATTGGCGACTCGAGAATTCTTTATTGTAACACCAACATATAAACACTGTTACAACTAAGGTCTGTGAGCAAATATTAAAACAATAAATCACCATATTACTTCTGACGGTTGTATCCTGACTTCTTTCTGAACAGCGACCGATGAGATGATGACTGGTGTATTGATGCCTCCGCGAAAATTGGGGAAGTTGGTTTTGAGCAAACAACCATGAATTGATCGTTCAATCTTCAACTACATTGACAGCATGCATGTCTTGTAAACTCACTTGTTTATACGAAATAGAAATTATTATCGAGATGCTAGAACTATGTTTCTTCCTCACCTGGTCTATCTAACACAGAACAGGAGAATTCCGAATGGCGAGAAATACCAGACGTTTGAAACAGAAATCCGTATCGTGAGAAATCGGGAAGATTACATTCATAGTGGTGAGAAGATGTCAATCTTTTTAAGGCTATCTTCATAATTTGAGGAAGGGGTGGGCTTGGAAAGACAGATAAGGCGTCTTGCATTCACTGAAAATGTGAGAGTATTTTCCGTAAGGTAAAATTCCATGACTGGCCAAAAAGTTTAACGAAAGTTACAGGATAGTTTACGCTGCCTCTTTTTTGTCAAAAACTTCTGGTTACTCATCTGCTCCTCTAAAAATGCGGATTTCTCCTGCCCTATCACTCAACTGTTGTTGTAAAGTGTAAATTTAACTCCTTGCTTTTACGTAGTACATCTGATGATGAGGAAACGTTTCACATATTTTGATTGGATCAGACTATTTAGAGGATGTTGAACTTACTACCGTAACTCATTATAGATTCCTGCCAATGTGTATCACGAGTTATGGTGATGCTAAAATGTAGAGATACAGCGCAAATAATAGATGAGCCAAAGTGTTTTTCTCACTGCCGATGAATAGACGACTTGCATTTCAGAATAAGTAGGTGCACAGCCTAAGACAGTTTTATTTAGTATGATGTTTCGTGTTTGTTGATAACTGTTTCCGGTGTGATTAATTACCATTGAAAGTTTGTGTTAATCGCACGAGATTAATACCTGTAACCTGTAGGACGCTACTTCCTATACTTGCACAAGAGACGGCAGTTTATGAGGTCTCCGTTAGCATCAGAGTTTAAAGTAAAATTTTAAACGACTATGCTAACACGGTTACATTAACAGACTCAGGATGAAAAGTCCACGTAGGATATTGTGTGGTTTTATGTCGCTGACTTTTAAATCTTTATAAATACAACTTGGTGATAGTGGAACAGACTGTAAATACATTGGATAACTCCCTGCATGACCACACGTCAGTGACTGCAAATCATTATTAGGAGATACCTCACCAGTTTTGAGGGTGAAATGGCACAAAATTTCTATTCCGAACACAAACTGAGACTGTTTAGAGAAGGTTTCTTCCGTTCATTTGCATTATACAAACATCTGAATGCATATTATGCGGACGCACTGCTAAGCATTATTTATTTGATCAACTAAAAATTTTAGGAATCAGAATCCCTTGAACTTTTGTAAGATCAGGTTGCCGAACTATTTAACTACCTGCTGATAAGGACCGTTAGTTGGAACGCTACATGTTGTTTAAATGACCCAAGTTCATTTGTCCGTTAGGTGGGGCTTTTGAAACGGCGTGAATAGTTTGATATTTGTTACTAATGCTATAACAGCCTGTAAACTCGTGGTAAGCTATAAAAATATCTATGAACTCTTCAAAATACCCATAACTGCATTTCCAAACATGCTTTTGTGATCTGGTTGCAGTGTGTTTGCATTTATATAGATATTTATTAGCGTTAACTTCGTTTGTGTTTGGAAAGTATCTTTCACAAGTTTGCTCCAAACTCAGAGATTTTATTGAAATTTCTTGGAGATTTAAGTAGATAAAAGCATTATAGGACATACTGTTTGGAATTGCTAGAACCTCAGGATTTATCGATGGGAAAATTTGGTAGTCCATATCTTGGTCTAATTGCAACATGAATTAAATCCATAGATCAGGCTAAGGTCGTTTATATTGAAAAAGTAACAAGTAACATCATATTTAATGTGATTTTACTGATTCATGGAGTTAAGAATTTATCACTGAAACCTGTCTTGAGTGAAAATACTTCGTTTAATTTTGGGTTAGGCTATTGTAATAGTAACACGGGAATGCTTTGAACAAGATGTTTTCCTTAAAGACCTTCAGATATCCTCATTTTCCTCTAATCATCCTAACTGCAGCGCAAAATTTCCACATTTGCCCTCAATCGCCAACGTATTTTCTCGAAATATTCCAAAATTTTTTATTTGAGCTTTTTCATCAAGCGTATGCATCGAATTTATTATACTGAGTTTATTAGTTGTTCCATGACTAAATAAGAATACAAATCCCCATATACTATTCACAGAGAATTTAAACCGACTAACCGTGCTGAAAACCAGTCATGTGGCTTAATTGGGGCTCAAGGTCCACAAAAACAATGCGACTACTCCTGATCTTGGGCCAGGGTATTCATCCTGCGATAGACTCGGATGTACGTACACGCCTACTAAGTTCATCGTACTTTAAAAAGGAAAAAAATTAATGTGGTGACCGACCATGGGTCGCTTACTTATCACATCCGTTGACTTGCGTCGGCGTCATTAGTTTAATATTCACTTGCTCATCTGATAGATAGCTGGACTTGATGGACATAATTTATTCAGTAGTGAGTTAGCTTTCTAGCTAGTATCAAGAAAGTTTAGTTTCTGATTGGACACTAGTAACCAGTGTGATGTGTCTGGTCCTTTCTTTGTTGCAGACTGAATTCCTAGGTCCAAGGCTTCTTACCGATTGCCTGTAATTGTCTCTGTTATCTTTCATATTCCTTTCTACCATTACCCATTCTGTTTCACTCTTATACTTGTCAGACTATTGATTCTCTTCACTCATCTTCTTGTCTACCTCTGTGTGCTATTTGGAAGGTGGCAACTCGAACTGCTGCACTTTGGTGCCAAGTTCTATGTTGAATCCAGACAGACAGACCGATTGCCTTCAACGATCTTATATCATCAAAAGGTTAGTTTCACCAGATCAGTCTCAACAGGACCTGCAAAACCTCTAAATTGATTTGTTTCTTAATTTACAGAACAAATCATTGATTCCTGTTTGACGACTAGCGATCAAAGAAAACAGGGTTCCAGTTTTAGTTGGTTTTATTGATAACATGTATTCTTAATAAGGAAGTTTTTCGAAATAGTTATGCTTATGTGTGCTGTAACCTATAACAGGATGAATAATTGTTAACTTGTAGCTATAGAGTAAGCTGTCACTCTAAGTAACGTATACGTTTCCAGAAGTGAGTTGTTAGTCATCATTACTTTACCGTATTTCGAAACATTTGTTTGATCGAATTATTGTTGGGCTTCAAATGTAGGTGTAGATCATCGCACGTAAAAGAGAATTAGTAATAGATTTCTTTACCTAAAAGTTATAAAGTAAGATGAACTGTGGTGTATTTTCTCGATATTTGTTTATGTGAACAGATTTAATGATACAATTTTTTTACTGTGAGTATTCTGATTTATATTGAACGGTTTGTTTTCAGAATGAGTTAGACATTGTGTTCAATTCGGATGTATCCGTAAATTGGAAAAATCATGAGCTATGAAAATAACGCAAAATATGAAGACCAATGGGCGAATTTCATACAGTCGTTAGATGTTGATCCTGATAAAGCTAAGGGTATTGAACAATTACCAGACGATCAGAAGCGTCAGTTGTTGGAAAACTATGTAAGTCACTATATTTTAAAATAATAAATGTTAGGCTATAAAAAACCCTAAGTGTTCTGCTTTTCATTATGTCAGCTTGATCAAAGGTTTACGTGTTGGGCGTTCGACATTGACAAAGGTTTGTTTTGCTTTCCTTTTTATCATAACTTTCCTTTTTCGCCTAGAACCCTCGTAAAAGTGATGCTCAACAGGCCAAAGAGATCCTCTTGGCCACAGAGATATCATTACGAACAAATAATGTGGCGTAAGTCTCCTAAGAATCTCGGTTTTTATCATCATACACTTTTAGGTGGGTCTATGATTTCCTCGACCAACATGGTTTAGAGACATTAGTCAATTATGTTTCTAGGGTGATTCATATGGTTATGAGGTAAGCTGAAATCTTGTGAATTTATTGATCTAAATACTAAATGTAAACAGTTTGAAAAGATTTAGGAAGTGTTCCATTTTATCGTAAGTTCGATGCATGCAAAGTGATATGCTAGTTTATAGATCCAGGACACTTTTTAAATTGTTTTTCAGTGTGTCATTCTTAGTGTTCACTAGTAAATATTTACAGTGTAGATAAGAACTAAACTATAATGTACACGACCACTTATTGATTCATGTTATGTTTGATTTATCAAGTTTGATTTAGTTACCTGGAATGCGAATAATTATTAGTTTCCATTTTGGTCAATTTATGACAGTTTTCGGTATTCGAATGCAATGAAAGCATGTTCAGTGCAGTTTTTTATTTAACGGTCCGAATGATTGCTCCTATATTATGCTTTGCCGTCTTGTTACTTGTTCTAAATTTGCTGTAATTTGTATTCCCATCTTATTTATTATAGCTTTCATATAGTTTCACCATCGCTCTTTGTGGTTGTAAGAAGACTATCACTTACATGTTTTTTATGTTGCCTCAAATGGTTGTTGTCCTCTAATACATTCAAATATGAAAGTCAGTCATTTAATTAAATACCTAAATTTAGCTAGATTATCAACGTAGATCTTTGTGTAGGAATTCATCATTTTGTCACTATTCAAAGAAGCACACATAAAGATAAAGAGAAGGAATGTAATGAAACTACAATGGACAAAAATATACGGGATAAAGAATAGTTAGATGAAGGTTAGTGAGCATTTTCAGAATGGATGGTAACAAGGGATGAATACCTCTGCACTATTGTGAAAAATTTTGAAGAATTTCATTAGTAGTCTTCATACACTGGTTCTTAGCATCATAATGGCCCCAGCCAAGCACTCTATACCTCCCTACGTTGCTGAAACTAATAATCAAAAACTTCATAAATTGGTGCAGTTTCCTCTGACTACCTGTAACTCTTCTCTGGCTTAGATCTACCGCGACTGATACTACTTGTGGACGGACATTATAGATCTGCATGCGTAAATCATGTCATAGCCATCTCAATCAGCGTGGCTTCCTTCCTTACATAACACTGCGTCTAACCTCGTAATTACTGACTGTATCTCACTATCGAATGAACACAAACGCCTGTGTTTGGAAACGACTAATCTTCTCATTTCTTCCACTTTCAACATCTGCGAACACGTATTGAGTTAACATATCCTTTTCAGTGCTCTGGGAGAAATTATGAGCATGTCTGTAATTCACTTCGCTTCTGTGAGGTGTGAAAACGTCAGCCCTCTTTTTAAGGATAAGTGGTCAAATGTGCTGACTACTGCACTCAGTGGACTGATTATTGAATCTCAGGATGAATACAGAAAGCTCGTTCGGCTTTTGCGTGCCATCTTTAAAAGAACGAGTATGATGTACATTAGAGGCATCTCTGCCAGCATATGTAAAAAGACTGCAGGTTCTTCGTATTCAGTAAACTGGTATTAGCATTGCCAGAGGATTATCCAACTTTCATGTGCATAAGAACAATAAATTGTGCATAAAATATTATTCAGCTATTAATACTGGATCGTTGTGTGCTAATGCAGTCAAATCAACTTATTATGGAATAATATTCCACTGTAGTGATCAAGTCCTGTTCACCCATTAACCTTATGTCTCAGGCATAATCCCCTGTTTTTTAAGAAGGTAATAAAAAGAAGTCGTGTATTGGGATAACGCGAATCGAAAGTTTTGATCTCACATCTGTTTTTTACGTATACACCATTCAGCGTTGATTTTCGCCCTAATTAGCATTTTATACAATCATTGTCAGATGAGCATGTTATAATCGGCGTCCATGTTTTATGTCAGCTTCTAAGAATTCCCTTGTGGTACTTCCTCTTTCAGGACTGATTTTCGACCATCAGTGGACAGTATGCAACAACAACGTTCTGCTCTTCTTGGATCATATGGTTCAGAACAATCAATTTCTTTAAATGACTTATGCGAAGAAATCCATGAAAGTGATCAAGTTGAGTCTGGATTTTGGTGCTCTAGTTTAAGAAAGAAAAAGAATCGAATTTCCTCTTCTCCACATGTCCCACACATATCCGAATCAATCAGAGATAGTCTTCATCAAGGTGTCAGATGCTTTCGCGCTTTACTTAACAATCAGGTGAGTTGTTATTAGTATGATTTTCGAGGTTCACTTTATGAGGCACTGAGTGTTTGCATCTTATGAGACTACGCATGTGCTGTTTTACAAAATACGGGTGCGTAATCATTAATCTAACTGTCTAGTAGTCACATATTTAACAAGTTTTGTTATTATGTTTGTTTCATCGTCCTTGACGCAACGTAAAGACCTGGCGTACTTTCTCATATACTAATTTGGAAACCGAACTTGTGAACTTATGATGCTGATATGTAAGTCGAGCGGGATTTAAATCCAAGATACTCTGGCATAAAAGCTGTGTCTCTATCAAACAGCTGCATCTTCGGAACTTATTAATGTTGTTCGTGATTAAGCACATAAATTCTTCATACATAGGGGCGCCTAACGTGCAAATCGAATCCTTGACTTTAAGGTTGACGGTATCACTCTATATCGATCGGGCTAACCAGACACTGGTGCTATTTAACTTCAGATTATTTTGGTTATTGTATGGATGACGGTGAAATATTTACTGGAATACGCTTCGGGCACAATTTATTGTTCACAGTCATAGTAAATATAACTCTGCAACTTCGAATTTAGTTTTTTGTAGTTCTAATTTTTCTTTCCCATATGTCGTATAGGGAAATGTGAAAACTAAGTTTCAAAGTTGCTGATTTATTGTTTTTTTTATGGTTATGCGCAGTAAATTGTGTTCAAAACGTTACCCAGCAAATAATACCGCTTAATTGTATGATCGGTGTAGTTAACCAGCTGGATTTCTGCCATCGGAAATGTTCATCATGCTCTATACTACTGATTGATTGATATCAGTGATTGAATAATAATAATAATAATAATAATAATAATAATAATAATAATAATGGTAAATCTTTATTTAAAACAGTATGCGAATATACGGTGCAAAAATTGTCAGCGTATTCAGCTCCAAAGTACTTTTTTCTTCACACAGGATTCACATGTAAATTAATAATCTGAAGTATATCTTCATTTCGTTGAGGAATTGTATAGCATTTAACATAACATAACATAACAATTTCGCTTTATTCCAGAAACAGTACTTGTGATACAGTGTGGAATTTTCAGCACATATCTACAATATTGCATCTAATTTCATCGTACATTAAAAAGGAGTATTACAAAAAAAATAAATATAAAAAAACTCGACAAAAATAAACCAAAAAAACGAAACACAGAAATAACAAAGAAAAACAAAAGAAAAGAAAAAAATGCAAGTAAAAAATACCAAGTAGAAAGGAAGATAAACACTAATAATGAAATGGGTAATGGAAGCTATGATATGTGTATGCGTGGTGAACAGTAACAGCTATGATCATACAAGAAGTTATGAGATGTTCTTAAGAATGTTAATAGCTAATATGATCACTTAATTTGATTAAACAACACTAAACAATCATAAAATAAACGTTTCAGGTTGTGTTTTTTTTATTGTCAGCACTAATGCAGTGTTAGTCGTGGTAGTGTTAGTAATGATGCGTAATACAAAATTTTTTAAGATGGTGATAGTGGCGTTCACAAACAAGATTGTCAGCTAAAATAGTGCCGAACAAAGAACAACCACAAAACTAATATTACATGATGGTTAATGACAGGACAATTTTCTTTTAATAATCATAGTGATAATATAGTCGGACCCAGTAAATATACAAAAGAAGGAATAGAGTAAAGTACAAAAACAGTAAGCCAACGATAATTAATTTTAAGCAGCTAAGTATGTTTAAGAAGGTTGTTCACCATAGAGTACAAATAAGAGAGTATAAGGGGGAAATAACAAGGGCCAAAATTATGTTATTAACAACAAACAAGTCATAGGTTTCACGCTTACCATTGTCTCTGTCACTTAGAACACGGGCCAAATATGGTATCGTTGAGTTCCTATACTTGGTTGTACGAGCATATATTATTTTGTACTGATTTCTGGTTCTACCTGATGAGATGCAAGGAGAGAGTTGGGAATAGAGGGGGTGTTGGGGGTCAGAGAGTATGGTTTTAGACCATTTCTCGCATGTATTCAGATGCTTATCCACTAATGTTGTGACGAGCTGACTGAGTTTTACACCGCTAGTCCTACTAACTACCTTCAACATCCTTCTCAGGATGGTATAGTCCTTTTTCAGTAACCCAGGAAAGACTAACGGGGAACAGTAAAGTAGAATAGGTAGGATACGAGAGTTGACAAATTGTGAAAGCAGAGGTTGAGCGACTCCAGTTAGTCTGAGTTTCTTAATGTAGTAGGTTAGACGAAACACTTTCTTGGAAATCATTTGGATATGAGATGACCAGGTAAGGTCGGAAGATATAACTAATCCGAGGTATTTTGCAGTAGACTTTGTTTCAATTATAGTCCCCTCAATTCTACAGGCATCATGAATGCTTACTAGTGCTTGTAGGTCTCGTTTATGCCTAAAGGAGAAGTCGATAGTCTGGCATTTTGAAGGATTCAGCATGAGGCCATTTAGTTTTGACCACTGACTGATATCCGACAGGAAGCTATTTAAATTGAAGCAGTCTGACTGAGACTTAACGGGAAGCGAAACAGTCAAGTCATCTGCATATTTGACGAAGTTGATTCCGTCTGAGAGAGGTAAGTCATGTCTGTCTGTCTGTCTGTTTTCGACATAGAACTTTGCACAAATGTGCGGAAGTTCAAGTCGCCACATTCCGTGTAGCACGCGAAGCAAGAGAAGAAAGTACAAGAAAAGCATAATAGAGACAGTGAGCAGAGGTGTGAGACAAAGGAGTAATAAAGAAATACAAAACAGTTTCATTGAAGATCATAAGTCACAGGGAGTGGATGCATCTGTGCCACTGAGAACGATTTCGAGCCATGTCACCAATTGTTTCCAACCATAGATTTTTACCGCCTCGAGGACCCCAGCCTGGAAGTCTACACCTTCCTACGTGGCTAAGACCAACTGTTGTGGATTTTATTGACTGATGCCAAGTTTTTGTTTGACCGCCGCTAGCTTTTTTCCAGCCTGACCCTATATCCGCTAACATAGCTCGTCGAGGGAGGCGATGACTTGGCATACGTAAGTAAGAAGAAGGAAAAGAGGAACGGCGAGAGAACAGCACCCTGAGGAACATCAGCTTCAGTAAGCAAAGGAGAGGAAGCTACACCATTATATACCGTGTACTGCATCCTATTGGAGAAGTAAGAGTGCAGCCAGTTGATAGCCCAGGACTCAGTTTGTGTAAGGCTAAGCTTGTTTAACAAAAGGCCTCTAGGTACAGAGTCAAAAGCAGATGTGTAATCAAGGAAAGTACAACGGACATACTTGGCCCCTTTGTCTAAGGAGGATACAATGTTGTGATGAAACACAACAGCAGCATCCAAAGTACTTCTACCCTGTTTGTAAGCAAACTGCTTTGGATCGTTTGAGAAGCTTAGGGAGGGAATGAGTTTTTGTAACAGTAATTTCTCCATCAGTTTCAAAAAAGGAGAGGTAATGGCAATTGGTCTAAACTTAACACTATTTCCAGAACCAGACTTGGGTACAGGGATGATTTTAATATCTTTCCACAGAGAAGGTACATTATTATTAGAAAAAGAAGTATTGAAAATGCTTGTAAGTGGGTTACTTAAAATATCAGCACATTTCTTTAAAACAATGGCAGGTATACCATCAGGGCCTAGACTCTGGGAAGGTTTAAGAGATTTCAAACATTTAAGAACATCAGAAGTATTGAAACGATGAAAGTCACTGGTCGTGTTATTAGTTAAATTGAAGGCAGAAGGGACATTTGGAGGGCGGATGAAAGATCTATTGAGAGTATTTACATCAATAGAAGAGGCAAAATTATTATGCTTACCACAACCAGTAATTTCTCTAAAAAGCTTCCATATGTTTTCTGAGGTTTTACAAGATAGTATTGTTTGATTATAAATGTTGTTTAGTCTCTTGATTTCAGATTTAATTTGGGTGTTTATCTTCTTAAGACCAGATTTATTCTTTGTCTTGTACAGCTTCTCTTTTTCTCTACGAAGTTTTTTGAGATGAGGGGAAAAAAACGATCCATTCTTTTGAAAATTATCTGTTTTGGACAGCATATATCAAGACAGAATTTAAGATAGTCAGTCAAATTGGAAATAGTATCATCCAGTTTGTGTTCGTTGAAAAGTTCCCAGTTAGTGTCATTTAGCATACATCTTAGTTTGAGCATATTTTCTTGTGAGTAACACCTTTGCTGTGTTTTCTTGGACAGATTTGAGAAGATATTAAAGTGAGATCTGCTGTATATCTTAGGTAATATCCGAATAATACAATGATCTGAGTTCATGATAGGAGCACGTCTGCGTACTTCATATATTTCCTCATCATTAATGAACACTAGGTCAAGAGTTTTATCAAGTCGAGTAGGGAATTTAACAATATTGGCATGACCTAATGATACGAGGAAAGAACAATCACAGCAGTTAAAATCTCCTGTGACAACTGATAAAGAGTTTTCAAGATGTGTAACGGCGAATTCAGTGAATTCATCAGCAAAATCAGATAGATCAGATGCAGAACAGCCAGGAGTAACATAAATGTTAGAGATGAAGACGTATTTAAACTTGGATAAGTGTTTCGGGCGGCATTTGACCGTTATACAATCAATAAAGTCATTAGAGTAAGAAAAACATACATTATTTGAAGTTGACCATTGAGAATGAATGAAAGTTGCAACACCTCCACCTCTTTTCTTTCTGGAGCATAGTCGATCTTGTCTAAACAATGTAAAACCATTTAGGGAAACCAGATTGTCATCATAGAGTTCATGGAGCCATGTTTCTTGTAATGCAACAATCGCCGTATTGTGATAAGTATCAGATGATAAGAGAGACTGGAGATGCATAATTTTGTTGGGAAGTGAACGGCAGTTTGAAGTGACAATAACAGGAATGGTTGTACGATATAAAGGTGTCTGTTTAAGTGCACGCTGCCAGCCAGCGTGATGTTTTCTCTTAGATTTATTAGATGCATGAAAGTCATATGGTTTAAAACGTTTAATGAATGAATTACTGTATTTTATGCGATTTGCGATCATATTTTATTAAAATTAGGAATGAAAACATGACTTATTAGATGCAATATGTAGATGCAGGAAAAGGTAGCCCAGATGTCAAACAGGCCGCCAAGCGAACTTGGGAGCAAGTTATATCATCGCGCAAGTTTATGTATAGGTCATTTGATATAACTGGACGATTAAAACAATGATAAATCCAGATGAAATTAAGCATTTTGGAGGAAAGTAATTTCGGTGGCCCAATGATTTAAGCAGGCCGCCATATACCTCTCACATAAACCGTTAGTGGTTGTTGGCGAGAATTTGGGTATTACTTTTGAACTGATTCAGTTCTCTGAGCTGGGTTATACCGGAAAAACCGCTAATGAGCACGGCCCCAAACGAGCCCACCCAGTGTTTGGATCACTTCGATCTGGCCAGTAAGCATTATTGGCTAATGTGAAAGGTGTCTAACTACTCATATCAATCAATCAGTAATATGTCACACCACACCTTTATGGTTGCTTTCTTGAGTGCCATTCATGGTATCAAGCAGATCACATATTATGGTCTGAATAATTTTAGTTTTCAAAGGAAACTGTGGTGAAATTACTCCCCAAACTGTGTAAATTGTGAACTTGATCCAATTGGTAGTGTTGTTTCATATTAACGAAATTACCTTATTTAATAAAGGAAAGCATAATTCATTATCGTCTTTTCAAGGCAACTGATCACTTTATGTCACAGTAACAACTTGGAAGTATTATTTCCCTAATGTTTATGATAAGACCACCATCTTTTCTCATAGCTTATGCTGTTTTGTAAGAATAAAATATTTCTTTCCACGTATTCAAGCTTTTCGTTGATTTTGTATTCGTTTGTTTTTGCAAAGCACGCTCTGTTATTTGTGTAAATAAATGAGCCATCATCAGTTTTACTCATACATGTAACAGTACAGTTGGCCTAATTCACTGACATGCAGTGTGTCTTCAGTATTAAATGACGATTAGAATCGGTCAGGTGGTCACCATTGAGAAAAATAGATCATTAAGCATTTAATTTATAGAACTCTATAGCAGCATGTTTCCCCTCGATTAAGTTATAATACACGAATTTAACAGCAGTATGTAAGTTATACGATATGCAGTTTTCAGGTATTAGCTCCAAACTGTTAGTGGGGAGCCATTATCCTGAAATACTAAAGGTTGAATAAGTTATTTATAGGGTTCATCATGACTTTTCAAGTTCATTTAAGCTGCTAATGGGTTTTAGACTAACATTATTAAGAAACTTTCTCAAGAGTTCACTTTCTTTATGGTTTATTGTTACCTGGGGATATATATGTATACATATATATACATATATATCAAGGCTATATTTTATTTCTTGTCTACCAAATGTTATTTCTAGAATATATTGCAATTTTTTGATGTTGAATCCTACTGTATATTCAGTCTAAATACTCTAATGCTTAATACTACAAGAAAGACAATAGATCTTACTTACTGTCTACCCTCTCAATTAATTTTAGCGTGGCTGTTCAATGGTATTCGAGCATCCTCGTGCTGTGAATGTTATCGCTTTGTGTCTTTTACATCCAAGCTATCAGTAAGTTGTCTTTCTTTTAGCCTCTTTAATAATAACCTTTTTGTTCATCATACTAAAATCATTTGAAACGTCAATTTAAACAAAAATGTAACGTGTGTAGCTGCTAGGATTCGATACTAGACTTACTGAGTTAAGCTTTGTTGGGACAGTTTTGATTCATTGTATATCCTTTGATTAACGTTTATTGTCATTAAAACAAGTAAAGCATAAGTTTAAGGACTCTGGAGATAAAGTAAACTATTTGTTCAGTATTATGTCCACTAGGGGATTTGAATTCCCAACCTATCATTAGGGGGAGTTGCATATACAAATACTGCTGTCACAATTTTGAAGCGTATACGAACTATGAGATTTAAGAGGAGAATTGGAAATGCTTGATGAAGTTATGTCAACTATTTCGATTTGTTTGCATGTTTTTTATGAGGTGAGTCATATAATTATTTTTTCTGTTGACAAGCGTTGCATCCAACTTTTGTATTAACCGATGGCTTTAGATTACTGAATAGACTATATCTGGGTTACTTGGAGGACTTTAGATGATCTGAATATATTAAACAGGCAACTGGTATACAGGTTCCTCATATTATAAAGTCACCTATGTCAACTAAAATCTTAGTTAAATCTAGGTAGATATATGAATTTTGATATGGATTATGTTCTCTGAGCTGGGTGGAGTAAGCATTATGGTTGGTGTATAGAGAAACAAAAGTCTCGTAATCAAGTCGTCCAGCTTAGATAACACAGTCACATCAAAAGTATCCACCTGAGCTACAAATTATTATCTCAAACACATGAATAGCTAAATGCGATTGCAATCGATGTGTGCGTTTTCTGTTAGTGTTAGGAATTTTATTCAATTGTATATCCACAATTTTTGCGGGTACTTTGGAAAATTTTGGTTTCTGACAAGTGATATTTATTACTGCTTCCTTTGTGTACCCATCTGCTTCCCAACTGCAAACTTACAAGCATAGTGATTTGGCTGTTTGGCTCTGGAACTTGACTTTCATTCATTAGATCCAAGGTTCGAATGTGGCCCCACCTACTTCAATGTGAGCAAGATGCGATTTATAGCCTTGAGCACTAGGTTTTCAGCCGGTGAGTCAAGGTTTTGGGGCCCTCTGTACCTACTTTAGCGTGGGCAACTAGCTACTATCATCAGCTCTCACACAATAAGTGTGCATGAAGACTTTGTTCCGAATAATTGAGCTTGAACAAACAAACAAATGTAGACGACTGGGTATTACACAGTGTGGCTCATTGCGTGGCACCATGGAAAGTCTGTTCTGGGTATTCATTTATGGCCACTTTACGAAGGGGAAGTTAACAAAAGTGAAAAGCAATCAACTGGTAGTTATATCATTAGTCTTTACAATAAAGCTCTGGTATTTAAAGAAGAGGTCATAAAAAGAAGAAATTGATATCGTGGTGAAATGTTCTTGTTTTAGGTGAACGAATTTGTGTTACTGGGGTCAGTTTTGAGGCATATAACCTAAAGTACCTATACTTTTATTGGAAAGTGTAAACTGCCCTAAATAGCTCAGATCCTCTACCAAAGAGTTCATCATTGTGTTCTTTCCTTATGCGTAATTGTTAGATTTTGTTATTTAGCTTTCTGTCCATAACTACCTGGGTTTCTTCAGATACAGGTATTTTTTAAATTTGTATTGTATTCCCTTACGTTCCCAGTGGAACATAGGGCTCCAAGCTAGAACCTAAGAGTTTCGGTAGCAGTGGTGTTTATCTTTACCGGTTGGGAGTTGCTAGCCTGATGCCGAACCCTCCATCTTTACCGGTCTCATTACTGTGTCAGCGAGGTTTAGGAGTGCATTGGCCGAGGATCGAACGCCGGACTACATGCGTCGTTGTTGAGCATCCTACCGCTAAACCACCGACGCACATTCCGATACATTAATACGGTTTTATTTCTACTTTTTTGAAAGTTTGACCTACTTTTTTATCGGTACTAATTTCTTTGGTTTTCTTTTTTTAGAACAAAAACTCTAGTACTTGAACTTTTAACCGTTGTCTGCTTAATTGCTGGTGGTCATGAACGTGTTCTAAATGCATTTGATAATTTCAAAAAGGAGGTTGGAGAGTCAACACGATTTGAATATTTAACGCATTATTTCTTTTCGCATGAATCTGAATCGCCAGATTATTATAGTATGGATTTCATGGTAAGTTAGTTAGTTAGTCTGTGTGTGTTTGTGTGTGTGTGTGTGTGTGTAGATATGAATACTGCATTCATGGAGTGGTTGAGTTTTGTAAAATGAAACTGTAGCACTTACTCTTATAATCACTCATCTCTTTCAGAAGTGTGTAGTTATGGTGTAGAAGGAAATCTGAATTCGAAGTGGAGAAAATATCATCCTACTCTGTGATAACAACAACTGTCTTCGCTGGCTCTACACTGAAGATCAGATGGTCGGGCCGGAGAGAATCACCAACAAGAAACTATGGGCACGAACAAACAAAACAAGTACCAGTCGCCAACCAACAAATATGCAGGAGAAAGTGGAGATGGATTGGACACTCGTTGAGTGAGGAGGCCGCCGGTTGGTGACATTGCGCGCGCGTCAGGCCATTTCTCGAGTGGAACCAGGCCGAAAGGTAAGCACGCGGCGATTGGGACGTCAGTGCAAGGGTGACATGGAGGAGATCGTGTGAAGAGTTGAGGATTTGAAACAGTATGGACTAACATGGATGCAGGTGAAAAGTACAGCAGAAGGAAGGAAGGAAGGAAGCAAGTGGAGACGCGCAGTTGAAGCCTTATGTTCCACTAGGAACCCAAGGGAACAATAACAAAAATAATACCCTGTGATAACATGAAGACTATTCAAATCTTTCTCATTCAGTTATAATAAACATATGTGTGGTTTTCACTATGGGATTTCAAAGTTAGAGTGGTTATAGCTTGTGATTGTATCATTGAAACTTATTCGGTTTATGAAGTTCTCTTTCACCCAAGATAGTGAATGATGAATACCCCGATTGGAATCTTTGGCACCCGTGTTTAGGGATTTCATCATCAACTAGTCGGTTATAAATGAATCGGTGGATACATATTCATTCAGGCACTAGTTGGTAGTTGAGAAATTACTTCAATAGAACATAATTTGTTAGCTAATTCAGTTCATTGTGTGAAGAGATATTCATTTTCATTTCCTTTGATATTTTCACTTCATGATTATATTTATTTCTTTTATTTGCTGTTGTCATTTTAAGGTATCGTGTATGCAATTTTTCAACATTGTTGTACATTCAACGGAGGATATCATGTTAAGAGTTTATCTACAAGAAGAATTCAGACATCTTGGATTGGTTAACTACTTATCGGTATGCTGCATAATTTCTATCAATAAATTGTGCATAACATTTATGTTTGTAGGGAGTTATAATGCTTTTATGTAGCCTATTTGAGAACGTGTTCTCATTTTTTTTCTCAAGTTATTGCAGAATGCGGAATATTTCACTGTAGGTATTCTTTGAGGCTGACATTATATAGGATTGTGTCTGGTGCTATTTGAAATTGGTCGTAGTTTTAATCTTTTAGGAGGTATTTTTTAAAATGAACGTATTCCCTCTGTTAGTCAGTTGTTGATATAATCTCAACTTACTTAAAGCTTACTTCTTGTTCACATTTCAAACAAGTGGTCTAATGGATAACGCTTCGGAGTTTGAAACTATGGGCACTGGGTTCGAGCCTCGTTGGGAACATCATCACTCACTGAGAAATGCAGGTACATCGAGCTGACGAGTCCCAAATAGGACGAAATGCGTATCCTGGATTCCTTCGCTAGTCACCATCCACCAATTAAATTGACTGATTGAGTTTATAATTTAGAACGTTGCATATAAGTGTGCAGCAATTTAAGTTGTCAGACTCTATATAACACACAAAGTGAGAGAAAATTTCCAGAGGAACTATAATAAATGCAGATGCACAGAAGAAAGTATAAGTATGTGTGGAGAATAATTAAGATTTAATCGATCTAAAGGATTAAAGAGAGTGAAAGTTTCTGCGCCGCCATCGAGGATGATTTTTCTCCGAACATTAAACATTTACGCTTTAAATGCCTGTCTGACTTATCTACCGGAAGTCATTCTCATAATGTGTTCTACTTTTTGATTGAATCTATCTTCTTTTAGTGGATTGTGATCTTATCCTTATAATGTACTGACAGGCTTGACTATCATCTCTATTTGAATAGAGTGAGAGAAACAGTTTGTGCAGAATAAGATGGTCCGACTAGCTGTTTCATCAGCTGCATACAGCCAGAGGAAATTATTAAGTTTAGTGTACAGAAGAATTTTGACATACTTGCAAATTTTACATGATGTCAGCAGACAGGCGGCTCCAAACTTAATGAATAGTGCTCAGAAAATGGCACATAAGTAGTTTTTACCCGGAGAGTCCAAGTTTAAACAAAAATCAATGTGTGCATAGTGTGGTGGCGCAGCGGTTAGGACGCTCGCCGACCATGCACATGGTTCGGGGTTCGATCCCCGGCCACAGACACACTCCTTTACCTCGCTAAGCCAGAAATAATGCTGGTAAAGAGGAAAGGCTGGGTATGAGGCCAGCAACCCCATCCTGTAAAAAATAAACACTGCTTCAGAAACTTCAAGCCATTAGCTTGAAGCCGCTCTATGTTCCACTGGGGAACGTGAAGGAAAAAAAAATACTGTGGTACCATCTTATTCTTTACAAGCTGTTGCTCTTGCTTTATTCATATTCGTTAAAGGAAACAAATTTGCCATTTGTTTGTTGTTTTTGAGAGATTATCCTATCCAATTAATAATGGAGTCAGTGAATTCTTAGAAAATATTCTTAGTGCAAATTTCTGTCACTAATGATTTTCAAATGACACTGAAAATGAAGACTAGCAAGTCATTGAAAGTTCTATTGCGTAGTATATTAACCTAGAAAGAATTAACTGTATATCTTACAACATTCTCCATGATTCCGAAATACTAAATTTAGAAGAATTTAGAAACTCAGGTATATTGTTCCTCACACATAAAAGGCATCTTCATCATCTAGTGTTATCTATTAGTCGTAATGCAAAAAAACCCCAGAATATTTCATTTTGGTATCTTTGTACCAACTAGTGTTAGTTGAATAAGCAGTACTTGGTATCGTTTAGTGCAAATGTTAAGTGTTTATGGTTTTGTTAGGTCATGGTTATATAGAAGTTGGGGAAAAATGAATCTCGTTAAGAATTAGGTCATATGTTCAGCTAGACAACATCTGTTTACAAGCATACAGAGTGTCTGTTGTGCGTGTGTATGTAACAACTAAGGTAACCTGTTAGACAGTTTCCTACATTTTGTTACAGAGTGAATTTATATTTATCCTATCGTCCATTACTGTGCTAATATCTTCGTTTGTAGATTAGCACATGAAATTCATAATTTTCTACCGTTCATCCATTTCATATAGAGTGAATACTGTTTGTCTTGGCCAAGCGTCATATGTGTCTGATATTAGTGGCTTACCATATAGTAGGAGATTTCGTTTGATTTTACTACACTAAAACAATACATTAATAAAAATCATAGTGTTTATGGTGTGTTGGTGATCGATAAACATCTGGGAGTTAAATATCTTGATGTGTATGAAACAGCAAAATAACCAGTTTTTAAATAAATAGCCATCGAACCTGTAGCGTATCTACTTAAGGTCAATCATACGTGCAATCAATCTAAAAGTATTAGAATCTGTGTTGCTTAGATTTGAAGAAATTTATTACAATTTTTGTGAGGATCACAGTTGAAAGTAATTCATGTGTCGCGACATCACCGGTCACTCGGGTGAAACACACTATCACCCATTCATGGCTTTTATCATGACCGTAAATGCTTCTAACCTTCATTTGTAATCATCCGACCTTTTGGGTATGTTAAGGCATCACTAAACAGTCAGTCGTTCTAGCCATTTTAGCCCTTTGGGTCATTGCAGTGTACAAGTTTTAATATAATAGCTGTCAGTTAGAGATTTTTTGGCGATTTTATGCGACCATTCAGCATACATTAATCATACTGACCAATTGTTTCATTTCTCTTCAAGACTTATTCACAGTGTATACTAATGTTTCTTCTTATGGCCTACAGTTAGAATTTATAACCTTTAAATCACCACTTAATTGGTGGATGGTGACTAGCAGTGGAATCCAGGATGTGCATTTCGTTCTATTTGGGACTCGTCATCTGGATGTACGTGCATTTCTCAGTGAGTGATGATGTTCCCAACGAGGCTCGAACCCAGTGCCCATAGTTTCAAACGCCGAAGCGTTATCCACTAGACCGCTTGGGCCATGACAGCCACCACTGCTAGTCACCATCCACCAATTAAATACTAATTAAATGCCCAGACATCGTCGAAGCATCTGCACAAGAAGCCGACGTGTCAACCTGAGACGGAGCACCTCGGTCCAATCAATCAACGGGAAAATCAAAAATTCAATTAAATTTAAATCACCGCATTTGTGTATTATATACTACCTTGTAAAAGTCATTTTATTCTTAACGTTGCTACATTCTGTTCATTTAGTCCAACAAATATTATTGATACATACATTTCCTTGCCCCGGTAACCATCTGTGTTTATTAAGTCCAGTGTCTCCTGCCAACTGGCATTATGTAGCATTTGCAAACATGTTAAAATTGTTCTGTGCATAAGCTTAACAATTTCTTTAGTCTGTATGCAGCTGATGAAATGACCAATAGTACCATCTTATTCTTTAAGAGGAATAAATGTATGAAGTTTCTAAAAACTAGATTCCTATCAATTAAAAGTAGTTCAGTTGGCACGAATTTGTAATATGATCTGTATCCTAATGTGTTAGAAAATTTTAAACTTTTTCTTCAGTTATACATATTTCCAAATCATTCAGCTGGCGAAAGTTCTAAAGAGATATTATAGATTAATTCAGAGAACTGTTGAAAACTGATGAGTACTGCGTCTTCTTCATCCGAGAATCTTTAATAGGCCTAGGGTCAGATTTGGAAATGAAGAGGTTACCATTTAGCCACCGATTCCTTTGACCCGTATTTTTCATCTTCTGTCAATATATATCCCTCTCTGGTAACATTTCATTCAACAATTTTGAGAAATCTGTTGTGAAGCTGCTCCCTAATAGTCAGTACATTTAAACTAACTTATTGGCTTTATAAAGATTTGTTAAGGTACTGTATGGTGCAATTATTGGACTAATCAGTGTATCCTTTGCTTGCTGATAATCAGTATTTTGCTTAATTCTTATCTATATACAATTTATGACAGCGAATCCATAATAAAGCTGGTGACCGTTTTCTACGTCAAATAGAAGCCTATAATGATAATGAAGTCGATGTTGCAGTCCTACTAGAAGATTCACAAATGCGAGATGTACTTCAACAGGAAAAAGAACAGGCAGAATCAGATCTTATCATATTACAAACCCGAACAGCAACACTTCAAGCTGAGTATGAAAGTAAACTGTCACAACTTCAACAAAATATGCAAGCTTTGGAGTTGAAATGTCAAGATTTAGAGGTAAGCGGGTATGTATGTATATGTATATTCATTCACCATCTCTTCTTTCTTTTTTTTCTCTTTCCTTCACGTTCCCCAGTGGAACATAGGGCGGCTTCAACCTAGTGGCTTGAAGTTTCTGTAGTAGTGTTTTATTTTACAGGATGGGGTTGCTAGCCTCATGCCCAACCTTTCCTCTTTATCGTGGTTCGAACCCCAGACCATTTGTATGGTCGACAAGCGTCCTAACCGCTATGCCATAGACACACCACTATCCCTCCTAGTGATTAAGAAATCACCATTCTTTTTAAAGCGAGTGTACCAATTTTTTACAGTTGAATACAACTCATTTTATGAGTCATACTTAGGAAGCGCATACAAGTGTACATAACTAAGCAGACTGTATTTTATGTGTTAAATTATTGGCTAATTAGTGGCTAGCTTCGGTGTATTTAGATATTCTCAAATAGGTAAAACTGCCTCGTAGTGTGTTTCAAGTGGTTCTGTAAGAGTAGAATAAGAATTGATAATGATAGAGTAAGGCAAGGTCTTGTTTTCAACTTTTCCCACATCCATACTAAGCAGTATTACCTGGTGTTGTTGTATACTACAAAGTTTCTTACATCTTTTTAGTACTGTTTTCTTGCAAAAATTGGCAGCTTATCATTTTCTATGAAAACTGCTATTGGTTTTTATCAAAGGAAGCATAGTTTTCTCCAATAAATGGTTCTGGGGTGTAGTTTTCTCAACAAAATTATATGCAACATTTGAGATATGTCATTCAAGTTGAAAATGAGAAATCACTCTTGACTTTTGCATTTACTGTCTCTCTGTAGTATCGATAATTCCCAGTGTGTGTGTGTGTGTGTGTGTTTGAATGATAGTTACGCACACAGGCGTTGACTTAAAGAAAACGATATTGCCGGTTAGTTGGTTTGCTCAATAAATGCCTGTATTTATCATTGTTATTATTATTATTATTTTTCTTCTGCAAACTTCCTTATTGAATTGCGCCTATTAAATGCTCAACAATTTTATGCACTTTTAGTTAGGCCGGTTCAGTACAGTCGATAAGAATCGTCAGTTGACTTCAACCTTGTCGTGTTTGTTGACAGTTGTCAGCAAATTTGAAAAGACTAAAGTCCCCTTTGTGATATGAACTGTTGTGAATCAGTTTCTGTTGAATAAGATTAGGTCTGCTGAATGGTCAGTTAAATCACCAAGGTAGGATATTCGTCCTGGTGATTGGCATCATTGTGTTAGTTACTGTCTAGTGATTAGTATACACAACAATAAGCATAAATGGGAGAAGCATCGTTTCAACTACAGGCGGACGGAACTGACGAGGATATCAAAGTCAGAATCGGAAAAGCAAGAGAAGCTTCCATTACTCTTAAGTCTGTGTGAAGGTCAACAGCACTCACAATCAAAAATAACATCCGGATTTTCAACTCCAATGTGAAGTCAGTCGGTGCTACTATACGGATCAGAGACTTGGCCAGCGCGTCATAAAGAGGATCTCAAACAAACTTCAGACCTTCATTAACAGTTGTCTTCGCTAAATACTACTCAAGATCAGATGGCTGGCCAGAAAAGATCAGCAACAGGGGTCTCTGGGAATGAACGAACCAACTCAGCAGGAACCGATTTTGAAACAAATAGGCAGGAAGAAATGGAGGTGGATTGGTTAGCCAAACTCTGAGGAAACCATCAAGTGACATCACTAAACAAGCCATTGTTCGAGTGGAACCTGAAAGGGAAGCGGCGAGTTGGTCGTCAGTGCAAGGGTGGGGTGACTTGGAGGAGGTGATGTGCAGGGGAAATAAAAACATGTGGGCAGACTTGGAGTGGGGTGAAAAAGTTGACAGAAAACCGAGGGCAATGGAGACGCACAGCTGAAGCCCTGTGTTCCTCTGGGAATTAAAGGATATAATAATAACAATAAACCATACAGTGATGTGTTGCAGAACACCGCCGTAACATGATGACAGACAAAATATAGCAAGCAGTGCAGATATGCCTAGCTGTGATTGAGGCCTGTGCAGATGCCACTTATTGGTTTAAACACTGTTTTTAGCTGCTGATGTTGGTTCGCGGATTCGAGTCGCGCTCCATCTACTTTAACCTGGGCAATTGAGTAGTATTACTAGTCATCACAGGATAAACGCACCGGATAACTGAGAGTAAACATGATTGAGGCGCAAATGCGAAACATAAGTTCAGAAATTCTTATTGTTTAACTCCAAACATCATCTAATATCAGGGTTATTACATGTGTATAAGGTAGTTCAGATTATTAATCTTTTCCTATTCTAAGTAACTAATTCAATTTCATTCATTCAATTTATTGATTAGATAACACTGACTGACTACCTGTGTATCCTATATTTGTGTCTTGTTCTTTGTGCATAACACCGTATATCCTTAACACATACATGCATGACTAAGCCTGTCTTGTTTATCTTATAATTTTTTTCTCCAGTTATTGTTACAGTTGTTGGTTTTTAACTTTGAAGGGTGGAAATATAAGCGCACTTGTATGTATCACAATCATATTTATAGATAACAATGGCTTACAATGATGAATAGATCTGATGCTTTGTTAGTCTTTAGGTGTCATTATACATCATTCTCTTGTTATTGTCCAGTTTATTTATATTATTTTATTTACTTATTATTTAGCGCTATCACTTAGAGATAGTTAGTCATCATTGTGCATCAAAAAGGAAAAAAAAAACTAGCTAGTTATGATTGATTAGTTTTTATTTCTTCACGTTATGAAAATCACATCCAACACTGTGCGTCGAACGTAGCTTCAACAAAGGGTGTGCTTATCTTGATTCCCCCACCTTGTTATTTCCCTTACCTTTTTGTCTATTTCAATCAAACGGAATCAAATGAGGACTTTAATGTACTTGAATCATTTCTGATCTCTTAAAATTGTCAGTAGCTGTTTGTTTTGTATCATCTTTCCTTTTAATGGTATCGTGCTGTTAATGGTGTCAGACTCCTTATGATTGGCAGTTTGAACTGAACTGTTGATTCCAGTTGTGTTGTAGACGTTAAATTAACCAGAACAAGTAGCTGACTTAGACTGAAAGTTATCCTTGGTTCCTTGAAATGTTGCTTCAACTTGCAAAACTAACTGAATTGTCGATGGCTCTTGAGTGGTCAAAACAAGTGTGAATTATGTATGCTGGTAAAGCTGTTGCGCTAACTTCTACTTAAACTGCAGGTGGTTATTAGAGTGAACAGGTTTTCCTCCACTTTCTCATGATATATTGTCAATTGGAAATTGGCGACCTAATGTAGACGAGTTGACGTTGATTCTAATTTATTTGTCTTTACCATTAACTAACTGGATTGGCTGTAGAAACGACAGTTAAGTTACGGTCTTTGAGACTGAGACCACATGATGAATTACTTCAGTGTATTATTTGACTTCCAGGCCTCGCATTATGCCTCTGATAATTTCATGAAGGAATAATGACGCCTCACAAAAGAAAATTAGGAACAAGTCTGCTTCGTATATTGGACTGCATATTGAAAACTCGCAGTTACTGACATAATAAAGGCTTATCTAATAGAGATGCTTGTTTATCGTCGGTGTGAATCGTGTATATACATGCTGTTGTATTTTAACATTGTAGGTGGGAATATTCATTAACTTGCATAATTGACTGTCTTTTCAACCGTACTTGACCCTCACTGATTTCAGCACACATCTTAATTAAAATAAAGCGTTTTCTCAATCAATCAGTCAAGTGTTGCACACTGGCAGGTATGCTTGTTCCAGGATTTATCGAAAGGTGGAACTGTGGTTAGGACTCTCGCCGACCATGCACATGGTCCGAGGTTCGATCCCCTGCCAACACACACCTGATATCTATGGTCGGCCTGCAAAATTTGGGCTACCGATATCCATGCTGAAAATTCCATACTTGTACCAAAAATACGGTGTGGAATCAAGCTGTAATCAAAAATAAAAAATATATACATTTTATAAATTGAAAATATTTAAAAAACTTATAGTTTTGTATACCATGTAAGGACTATGTATGCATCAATAGTTCACTATCGGGTAACTTGTAGTCAGATTTTCTATTCCGATCATTTAAAGGAAGTTCTGCTGTCGATGTCCATAAAATTAGTGATCTTTCATCTTAAAGATATAATTAGTGATGACATGCATGTCAAACATGCGCAAGGTAATGACAACGCCAATAATAGGCAGTATAAATCATCAGTAGTACTTCCATACAAAGAAGAAACCTCGGAAACCTTACGGGGAATTCTTAACAATGTAGGATTAAAAGTGGCTGGCATTCAAATCCACAAACTCAAGTGTATACAAGCTTTGTCGGTTAGAGGATTCTGTGGAGCCAATTAAACAAAACAGTTCACTCTATCTAGTACCCTTCAGTGATTGTCAGGTCAAATACATAGGTCCAAGTAGTGGAACGGGGTCAGTCAGACTAGCGGAGCACAAAAACTTAGCTAAATCCAGGTAGAATTACAAATCTGGAGGGAAGTTCAGCTACATCACTGAATGCAATTACACACAACTATACAATAAGATGGGATAAGTTGACAGTTCTAAAATCCAATATAACAGAATGGAGGGACAGATTAATAGCAGAAGCTTTATTTATCGAATCAACTACAAACACGTGTAATAGGTAGGAATGATTCAACACCTATCCAAGCGGACATCTGGAAAATTCTACTACCCTTACGACGACAAATAGGAGAGAACAAAAAAGACTATAAAACTCAAGTTTCGAAGTCGTGTGATCATAATTGATCTGATTATCTAATAAACAAACTAATATGGAATAACTTACTACCACAGTGCCCAAGTTTTACACATGCACGAAATATATGTTGTTTAGGCTTAGTTACCTGTGATTTCAATTAAGAAAAAATCCCCATTTAGGCATTTAGACAACAGAAAGATTGAGCGAAGAAACCTAAACCTATAAAAATTATAATTGTCTAAATTATTTATTTTATTTTTATTTATTTCGACCACTTCACTTTAATTTACGTGTTATCCTTGTAAAATTAATTTATTCTATCCATTTCTACCTTTGAAAAATCTGTATTGATTTTCTTCGTTAACTATTAACCCATTGACATTTTGACACTGTTTAATTATTGTTCACAAACTTATCGCCACTTGATTGGCAAACTGTTGTTGCATACTGTAATAAAAAGGCTATATATATATTAGAGTAGAGCCAGAGATGAGGATCTAATTGAAAAGTAAATATTTCTTCGCTTAATCCTTCTGTTTTCTAAATACCTGTGATTTGTTTCGACGTAGATTTGTAAAGTTGTGCCTCATTTTAGTGTAGACTGTCAACAACTTTTAGCCACACAAATTGATGATTCCAAACTCTTCTAAGTCATTGAGATGTTTATGAAAGTATCTAGTCAATTAAACAAGAAAGTTAGTATAAAACCTCAGAGTAGGACTTTTATGAACATTGATTTATCCCCAAAAAAATCAGTACAAGAAAGGAGTAATTGTAGAAAATAAAGGTATGAGAGGATGTAGAATAACTGAAGGGGGAGGATATGATGAAAGGCTAGAAATCTCATGAAAAATAAAGTGTGAACATATCTCCCGCAGAGAAATCAATCTTAATTTTTCTGTTATCTATAGTATTCAATCATTGATTCGTATCCTATTGAACCACAATAAGGTAACCTTTACTTCCCAATACATATAGACGAAAATGTCAGGAATTCTGTAGATTAATTTCAATTGATTTTCCTTCGAATTGTGTGTCATGATGGTTTAGTGCCGTGTACACAGTGCCCAGCTACCTCAGTACTTTCAGATTCACAGCACTTACGTACTGTCTCACCTCTGTGGTTTGATTACACGCGAAAATGTTTTATCAATGCTTGTTAATAAACCAGTTGTTATTCCATTTGTTGGTTATTATTATTATTTCCTCGGGTTCCTAGTGGAACATAGGGCTTCAACTCCACGTCTCCACTTGCTTCCTTCCTTCCTTCTGCTGTACTTTTCACCTGCATCCATGTTGGTCCATATTGTTTCAACTCCTCTCTCTTCACACAATCTCCTCCATGTCACCCTTGCACTGACGTCCCAATCGCCGCTTCCCTTCCGGCCTGGTTCCACTCGAGAAATGGCCTGACGCGCGCGCGATGTCACCCAGCAGCCTCCTTAGCGAGCGAGTGTCCAATCCATCCCTACTTTCTCTTTCATATTTGTTGGTTGACGATTGGTTCTTGTTTTGTTTGTTTGTTCCCATAGTTCCCCATAGTTGGTGATTCTTTCCGGCCCAGCCATCTGATCTTCGGTATAGAGCTAGCGAAGACAGTTGTTGATGAAGGTCTGCAACAGGCTGTTGGAAATATTCTTTGTGACCCACCCGCCAAGTTTCTGATCCGTATAGAAGAACTGACTTGACGTTTGTATTGAAAATCCGACCGAATTTTGTTGTTGATGCTGGCTGAGTGACGAAGATTTCCAGATTGGTTTCAGGTTCATGATGAATGTGTTTCTCGCTGGCCTTCCCGATTCTCGATTTGACATCCTCGTCTGCTCATACTTCCTGTAGTTGAGACAATGCTTCCTAGATAAGTGAATGAAGTAACCTCTTTCAATTCCCTCCCGTTAATGGTGATTGGCGCTGGATGTTGTTTACTTATTGTTTGAAGGCTGGTAATACTTCCCTGTCACCACCTAGGGCTGGAGTAGCTGAAGCGAGATTTAATTGTGGGACTCATTCTCGTTAGGTTGAGCCAATGACCCACATCCCCCACCCAACCATTCCGTCTATAATATTTTACTTCTCCTACTTCCTTAATGATTTCCCTATTCTTGTATTTCGTGTAACACTACTTGTTCAAATAGTGAAGTAACCGAAGTCATCTTCGCCCCATTATTCTTTCTGTTATATTACGTGAACTTTGAAAATGGCAAAGTATATATCTGATTGTGCGTCGGTGGCACAGCGGTCAGGACGCTCGCCGACGATGCATATGGTTTGGGGTTTGATCCTCGGCCGACGAACTCCTTTACCTCGCTAAGCCGGAAATAATGCTGGTAAAGAGGAAAGGTTGGGCATGAGGCTAGCAACCCCATCCTGTAAAAATAAACATTGCTACAGAAACTTCAAGCCACTAGCTTGAAGCCTTATGTTCCACTGAGGAACGTGAAGGAAAAATTATTTCATTATTATATATTTGGTTAATGATTGAGAATTGATAAAACTAAATTTATAAGTATCTGTTGATGTCATTCTGTTATTAACTCACATTTTGATCAATATTTTGTTTTTATTATTATCATTATCATTATTACAGAATCAGCGTACAAATCAAGATGGTCAACTGTCTACATTACGTGCTCAGCTATTGGATAAGGATAAAAGCACATCAGAACGTGAACGTAATTTGAAAGAACGCGTGAGAGAGTTAGAAGAATGTTTAAGTGCTGTCAAAAATTCTACAGAGAAAGAAAAACCACAAATAAATGGTATAGCTCATGATGGTCCTACTAAGTTGAACAACGCAACGCCTACAGCTGTACCTCCCCTCCACCACCACCGCCGCCACCACCCCCTCCTCCACCTCCTCCACCAGCTTTTGGCATACCTCCACCTCCTCCTGCGCCTGGAATGGGTGCAATGGGTCCTGGTGTTGAAGGTAAGTTTCTTTTCTTAACTGTATCACTTCTGAGGCTTACTTTGAGTCCGCGAATATCGGATACTGTGGCTCCCGACCGAAAGCCTGCTACCTTGACGTGGTGGTCGGGCTTGAACATCGCAATGACCTAATCAAGCTATACTGGCTGAGACTTATGTCTCTTGAGGTCCTACCATGCCTAAAAGGTTGTTTGGTTAGCGGTTAGACAAAAAACGGCTACCCAATTCAATACCATACATAATTCACACAAATTTAGAAAATATCACGCTGGATCGGTCGGGGCCCCGGATTAACAACGACCGCGCTTCCTGCTGCCGTGTCACAGGGCAGAAATGATAAATATGCTACTGAGACACACCAAACAATAAAGAACGAACAAAAACAGGCCTCATGTGACCGGCCTCAAGCAGTTGTCCCGTGGGCTCTGCAGTCACGCAATCAACTTCCACGGTGTGGGCAGCCAGGAAGTAACAATTGCCTCACAATCCGAAATGCAATCCGGAGACAGGATACTGTGGCTGAGTGTGGGTTATTTGTATGGCAGGTAAAAATTATTAATTGGTATATCTTTATTCTTGTTTTCTTTTTACTATACTCCACGTAGGCGTTTCTATCCGACCGCCTATACAGACTCGATACAAATTGCCATTAATTAATTGGGTTCTTTTAAAAAATCAACAACTTCGTGGTACTATATTCGTTGGCATGAATGATGAAGCTGTTCTAGAAACTTTGGATACTGAGAAATTTGAGAGTTTATTCAAGTTGTCGAATCAGTCAGTAGACAATAAGTCGTCGTCAACGACAGGATCTACTGCCTTAGTCAATGGACTAGATCAAAGGGATAGTCGAGTAAATAAAAAAGTCGAAAGGAAGTCTTTAATGGATTCCAATAGGCATCGGTAAGTTATTCTTTATTCAACACACACACACACGCACGCACACACACTGACTGTAACTTTTATCAATGGGATAGGGATTCCGATTTGTTTGCTTTTGAATAACTTGGTGTATAATAATCACAGAGACAGACAGACGTACATCCTCAAGGCTGTACAGTTTCTAGATTTACTCTATGCAGTATTACACTCTAATGATAAATGAAAGGGAGAGGAATCGGTTAACAAGAACATTTTTTCTACAGTTTTTTTTGGTTTTACTTTTCAATACAGCTCTTTTTAAAGGTTTACTCTCAATTATGCATCTGCGCTTGAAATCAGGGGTTTTATTTCTAAGGATTTCGTCCTCCTACATTATAGTGTTCTCCCTGTCTACAGACTAATGTATGTAAGCAAAATAATCTTTTAAGCAAGCTAAAATGTTAGTCATCCGTTAACTGAGTGTTATGTCAGCTGCAAAAACCAAATACAGATTATAAGTAAAGGAAAAGTGTTGCTTCCATTGTAAACCAATAAACATTTAGGTCTGATGGCTTAGTTGTATATCATAGCAAGTCACTTGTTCGCTTCTACTTCGTGATTTCCTCTGGTCGGCAAAAGTTCCATTTATCTTGCTGCTAGTGTTCCAGACATTAAAAAAAATGAAATAAATTCCAAATTTAACTGCATAATTATACACTTATTATCAGATTATGCACGACGTAATAGATTCGCCAGCTTCACCGCCAACACTAGCGGGTCTCCGCCCAGTGTCAGTTTTGTGGCGCGGAACTGCTGCATGGTCAGCTGCCTGTCCGTCGAACTCTGCCACCAATCGTTAGACCAACAGCTTTCAGGTCTCATTCTCACCTGATCTGATACAAGCACAATCTGATTGTATTTGATTGATAACACTAATATGATTTCTGAATGCACTTTATCTTGTATTCAAATGTCTAATCGATTTTATTCATGTATATAAATGAAGCGAAAAAGTTGTGTGAGTGCCTTGATATGATTATGAGCAATAATTTGTGCTCAAAACATCATAAGTTAATATTGCTGTACAATACTGTTTGATTTATCAAAATAAAATCTTATCCATAATGGAGTTATCTCTCGTCGTGTGTCTTTGCTCTTCTACTGAATTGTTCATGTCAACGTAAGTTGGGCATGTCTTGCGGTAATAAACGTGTTATTTAAAGGTGAAGTGACTAGTCGGTAAACTTGAGCTTCTCTGGAGGAGTCAGTACCTCAAATCTGTGTTAACGCGTTGTTTGAATATGCAGGACTGAATCGGTTGCCTGTTACTTGTGAGCGCGCTGCTTACTATGTCGGATGCTCAGTCTTTTTTTCCTGTGTCAGTCATGTGAAATGGTTTTTTTCATGTACCAGGCTATTAGCCACAGCTATCGTATGAGGCTTGATTCTACTATCCAGTTACCCAGACTGCAGTAGTTGGAGTGGGACTCAGTCCTATGACCTATCATCAGCTGAAAACCGAGTGTTTAAGGCGATGAGCCACATCTCCAATTCTGCCTTATATCTTATATTTTAATTGCGTCTATCTGTCTGTTTTCGACATGGAACTTTGCACCGATGTGCGGCAGTTCAAGTTGCCACACTCCATGTATCACACAAAACAAGAGAAGAAGGTAGAAGAAATGCATAATAGAGACTGTAAACAGAGGTGTGAGACAAAGGAATAGTAATAACGAAGAACAATATAGTTTTATTGGAAATCATAAATCACAAGGACTGGATGCATCTGCGCCATTGAGAACGATGTGTTTGAGCCATGTCACCAACTGTTTCCAACCATAGATTTTTACCGTCCCGAGGACCTCAACCAGGGAGTCTACACCTTCTTACGTGGCTTAGACTAACTGTTGTAGATTTCATTGACTGGCTCCATGTTTTTGTTTGACCTCCGCTACCTCTTTTCCATATAAGTATAAAACTTGGGCACTGTGGTAGAGTATAATTCCATTATAGATAAGATTTTATTTTGATAAATCGCACAGTGTTTACAGTTATATGAACTGATGACGTTTCGAGCACAAACTATTGCTCATAATCATATCAAGTTATGATTATGAGCAATAGTTTGTGCTCGAAACGTCATCAGTTCATATAACTGTAAACACTGTGCGATTTATCAAAATAAAATCTTATCTATAATGGAACCTCTTTTCCAGCCTGACCCTATATCCGCTAACACGCCCATTGTCGAGGAAGGCGATGACTAGACATACGTAACACATTTCCTAACCATCTCAGTTGATGTAATTTCATATTTTATATTTTACTTGTATTTTTTCTAAGGTGGTTAAAATGTTACAGATTTTCATATTTAGTCGACACCAGCAGGCATTTCTTTACTCTGTATATACACATGACTTGTATTTAAAATAAGCTTTTTTATATTTATAAAGTAGGTTTATGTTACGATTATTTTAGCACTAAAGTATAATGAACAATAAACTTATCGATATGTTTACATGTGCATGTAAGTACGCATGCATGTGCAGTGTACTGTCGAATTTAATTGTTTTTATCATTACCTAAAAACAGGATATAAAACTCGGTTAATGTGACTAACTGTTAAACTATGCATATATATATATATATATATATATATATATATATATATATATATAGTTTATGTGACCAAATGTTTTTCTCATATTCCGTTTAACTACCACTTCCTATTGTACTTTATCTGCAGTGTTACATGCATTGAAACTGAATGTTATCGTGGTATAACTGTCAGTGCTTAACTTTCAATCAATCAATAGTTAGTGTTCTATGCCTGCATTACTTATTGTTGGCTGGAATAACGACCAGCGCGGTGTCACCCCACACACACACATATTTAGGGTTATTCATGGCTAATACTCTAAGACACTTTTGTCTGTTAAATGGTTTACATGATATATACATTTTTATATAGTCATGTTATAATCCCTACCTTTCTGGACAGTTTGTTGTACTGCGTGTTTGTTTTGTATGTGCTTTACAGTTGATTCATTTTCTGTGAAAAAGTTTCGAACTGTTGTGTGTGTGTGTGTGTATTGGTCATAGAAGCTAAGAAAGGGGCACTAATTGTTGTTATACTTTGTGTATGCTTGGGCAACATTTCCTAGAATTTTGTGTTCATCGCATTGTTCTCCTGTTTCTAACTTCATTCATACCGGCAACAATAAGCGATACTCTTGAGTGATGTTTTGAGATTGTTGTAATTCTTTTTATCTAACTTGTGTTAGTCAAAATCTGACTTTTACATTGTTAAGCCAATTTATTTAGTTGTAGGTTAGTACCAAGTTCGTTATTCGACCAATTTGTAGTGGGGGACTACAGTGACCGACTGTGGGAAGTGTCCATATTAAGTGATGTTCATCAATAGCCTGTTCACACTTGATTTGATTCATCCGTATAAAACGTTTATTTGAATAACTGTAGTTTCTCACTTCACTTCATTATGCAAGATAACTTAGTTGACTTGAAATCCATACTCAACGTACTTTTGTTGACTGAAGGTTCTGACAAGATGTAGTAGTTTTTGAAAATGTTTCGCACTGTGTCTCTCATCTTCCAAATATAAATTACTACTTCAGGAGACTGATCTGCTTTTATGTTCTTTATACCTAGATTACTTCATTTACCTACAACAAATAACATCACCTGTAGTACTCAGTATTCCGGGTATATGTTCAGTACTATAGGTGAAAATAATGCAAACAGCAGGATTTTTCTAAAATATCTTCATTTCATTTGACTGACATTTCTGTTTCTCAGCCTTGTTTTCACATAAAATCGTTTAATACAGATTGGTGTTCACTATACTATCTGTAATAAACAAAAAGGATTTTATCAACTATTGCTTATTCTTGGTATGTGAAACTCCAGAACTACATATTTGCTTGTATACTTGACACAGAACTACGTCTGTTAATGTCATGCCCACAATTTGATAGTTCGGACAAGGTTCATATCCTTCTTTATTTTGTCGACTAATTGAAACTGTGCTATTAGAGCAATAAGCCACCGGTGTGCAGTTAGCTCACTTTTGCGTCCATTATACAAATCAGGGCTTCATATATGTAGCTCTACACGATGGAACACTACACTATAAATCTGCTGTAATTTTTGTTATATTATTATATTTATTATTTTATCCTTTAATTCCTAGAGGAACACAGGGCTTCAGCTGCGCGTCTCCATTGCCTTCGGTTTTCTGCCAACTTTTTCACTCCGCTCCAAGTCTGCCTACATGTTTTCATTTCCTCTGCACATCACCTCCTCCAAGTCACCCCACCGTGGGACGACCAACTCGCCGCTTCCCTTTCAGGTTCCACTCGAACAATGGCTTGTCTAGTGATGTCACTTGATGGTTTCCTCAGAGTTTGGCTAACCAATCCACCTCCATTTCTTCCTGCCTATTTGTTTCACAATCGGTTCCTGCTGGGTTGGTTCGCTCACTTCCAGAGACCCCTGTTGCTGATCCTTTCTCGCCGGCCATCTGATCTTGAGTGTTATTGAGCGAAGACAGCTGTTAATGAAGGTCTGAAATTTGTTTGAGATCCTCTTTATGAAGCGCCATGTCTGTGATCCGTATAGTAGCACCGACTGACTTCACATTGGAGTTGAAAATCTGGATGTTATTTTTGATTTTGAGTGTTGTTGACTTCCACACAGACTTAAGAGTAATGGAAGCTTCTCTTGCTTTTCCGATTCTGACTTTGATATCCTCGTCAGTTCGGCCGGTCTGTAGTTGAAACGATGCTTCCTAGGTAGGTGAAGGAGGCTGTTTCTTTCAGGTTCCTCCCATTTATTCTGGCTGATTGTTGTCTGTTGTTGTTGATGTTGGTGTTGGCCAGGAATCTTCATCACTTCTGTTTTCTCTATGTTTCCTTGTAGTCCTATCTTGGATGCTTCTTCTGGCAGCTTGTTGCTTTTCACTAGCATATCTTCCAGTTTGTGAGAAATCTGACGAATATCATCGACGAAGTCCAGATCCTCCAGGATTTTTCTGTGTGTCCATTTTATGCCTGTTTCCTCATTAGCCGGCCCGTTGTCTGTCTCATTATCCAATCTACTGCAATCAGGAAGATCATTGGTGATAGTAGACAGCCTTGCGTACCTCCCGTTTTCACTTCGAAGGCTTCCGTAAGTTTCTCATTGTGGATTACTTGGCATGCAGCATTGTCGTATAACTGTTGGATGAGATGTATAATTGTCGATGGTACTCGAAAATTAATCTAATGCCCACCACTGACTGACTACTGAGTGAAATTACCTGGAGTTCTAGTCAGAAGTCATAACCATTGGTGTGTGCCAAGCTGGGTGTGAGGATACCATTTGTTATATTACGATTGATTAATTGTTTTAACAGTTTAGAAAAAGTTCTATACATTTTCTACTTCTTTTTTTTTCTTTTCTTTTAGTTGTATTGGCGTATTGTTGCGTTATTTAGAATCAGAGAAGTACACACCTGAACGTCTATGGAATGATATTAATCGTTTAGAATTAAGTCAAGATGTTGCTGATCGTATTTATCACCAATTGCCGACTTCGGATGAGATGAAAACCTATTTAAACTATGAATTCACTGAACAACGGCCTATTGAAGATCTTACAGATGAAGATCGTCTTTTATTGCATTTATGCAAAGTTGAACGATTAGGACCTAGGTTGGAAATTATTCTGTTCATGAATTCTTTCGAGGATAATTTAAAAGTTGTCAATTCGGTGAGTAATTCTTTGCATAGATAGATGTATGCATATCTGTTGTGATATAAACAGAGTGATAAAATAATTATTTTCAAGTTAGATCACGGATTGACATCAGTTAATAATGATAATAAGGATAGTCTTATTCCAAACAAATACAAATATGGAATTTTCAGCATGTAGTGCAATTTCGCATCTAATTTTCTCATTACAGCGGGAGAGGGGTGAGGTTGCAATAATTAAAAATAGGACATTTACATTAATATTACTTATTCCGGCGAGCTCCGAATTCAATGAGGAGCGAAAGCTGCACAAAAGGAAACTTACTAAAAGTCTCCGCAAGGACCGTGAACAGTGGTGGGTGACAAAGGCGAAAGAGATGGAAAAAGCATCGGCGATAGGCAACACTAGGCAACTCTTTAGACTCATCAGGGAAACGGGGGGAGAAGGCAAATCATAAGTGAGACTATTTCTGAGAAAAATGGCTCCTTAATTAGCTCTCAGGATAGACGCCTTGAACGCTGGAAAGAACACTTTGAGGACAATTTAACTTGCCTACAGCCACACTGAACCTCCCCGACATCCACACACACCCGAATGGGATATAGACACTGGTCCGCCGTCTGTAAGTGAGGTCACAAAAGCTATCAGTAATTTGAAACGAGGCAAAGCGGCAGGACCCGACGGAATTATTCCGGAGGTGTTTAAATATGGGGGTGACATACTAGTTTGTAGATTAACTGAGGTACTAGGCAAAGTCTGGGAATCAGAGACAGTGCCATCAGACTGGGGTAAGTCACTTATTATACCGATATTCAAGAAGGGAAACAAGTCCTCGTGTGATAATCATAGGGGGATCAGCCTAACGAACATAGTCTCTAAAATCCTAGGCTCAGTAATCATGCATAGACTAAGCAGAACTCGGGAGGAACAGACAAGGGAAAATCAAGCAGGCTTTAGACCAGGTAGAGGGTGCATAGATCATATCTTCACTCTTCGACAGATTCTAGAACATAGACACACTTTTCGGCGTCCAACAATTGTCATATTTCTTGACTTGAAGGCGGCCTTCGACTCCGTGGATCGAAAGGTACTATGGCAATGTCTGACTGTGAAGGGAGTGCCAAGAAAGTACATTGCACTAATCAAGGCACTCTATTCAAACTCACGTAGTCGTGTAAGGGCTTATGGGGAATTGTCATCTGAATTGGTAACAACCAGTGGTGTCCGACAGGGATGTCCACTTTCCCCATTTCTGTTTAACTTCATCATAGATATGCTGATGGAAGTATCCTTAACTGAACGTAATGACTTAGGAATCGACTTGTTACCAGGGAATAGTCTTATGGACTTAGAATATGCAGATGACATAGTCCTGTTAGGGGAGGATGCTGACAAAATGCAGAGTCTTCTGAACACCTTGAGCAGCAATCTTCGTATGTTTGGCATGCGATTCGCCCCTGCAAAATGTAAGATGCTGCTACAGGACTGGACGACGTCAACCCCTAACTTAGTGATAGGGAGTGAAGTGATAGAACATGTTGACCACTTCACCTATTTGGGAAGTTGTATTAGCACCAACGGACTGATTGGCGATGAAATCTCAGCACGGATCCGAAAAGCTCGAGCTGCTTTCGCTGACTTACACCATCTCTGGCGTAGGCGTGACATCCGGTTATCAACCAAGGGACGTGTGTACTGCTCATCAGTTCGCTCCGTCCTTCTCTATGGCTCTGAAACATGGCCAATACGCGTTGAAGACATGAAAAGGTTGACTGCTTTCGATCATAGATGTCTGCGATCTCTGTCTCACGTTAGGTGGTTTAATAAGGTAAGTAATGTTGACGTTAGGCGTAGAGTGTTGGGCAAAGAGGGAAAATCAATCGACGAGGCTATAAAGTTACATAGACTAAGATGGCTAGGTCACGTGGTGCGCATGCCTAACCACCGCCTCCCCCGACGGGCATTGCTAGCTGATATAGGTGCAGGTTGGAAAAGAGCCAGTGGTGGCCAAACAAAAACATGGCTTCATCAATCCATGAAATCCTTGACAGTTAAACTGAGTCAGTCAGGTAGGGAGATGCAGACTTCCGGGTTGGGGCCCTCGGGACTCTAGGAATCAATGGCTGGAGACAATAGGTGACATGGCTCAAAATCGTTGTCAATGGCCAGCGGAGATGTATTCAGTCTCTGTAATCTTTCATATTCCTTTCTACCATTACCCATTCTGTTTCACTCTTATACTTGTCAAACTCTATTGATTCTCTTCACTCATCTTCTTGTCTACCTCTGTGTGCTATTTGGAACGTGGCAACTCGAACTGCTGCACTTCGGTGCCAAGTTCTATGTTGAATCCAGACAGACAGACAGATTTACATTAATAATATTGTACAATAAGAAGTCAATATAAAAGTAAATCAAGTGAAATTATTAACGACAATGTAATAATCAAAACAAAAGGCAATGCCGTTTACTAAGAGTTCCACAGTAAGTTGGTAATTTCCTGTCTTACACTTTTCTCATCACAGAAAATGTGACCCGACTAAATAAGGTATTGTAGAGTTCTTGTACTTAGTGTCATCCGAGCATACAGTCTTCCATAGTTGCCCATAGTTATATCCGATGAGATGCGAGAAGAGAGTTGTGTAAAGAGAGGATGTTCAGAGTCTGGAAAGATATTATTTGCTTATTTCTTGCAGGAATCCAAGTGTCTATGTACAGTAGTATTAACGAGTTGGTTTAGCAACACCCCAATCGCCCCAATTGCCCTACGCAGTATGACAAATTCTTTCTTAAGCAGCCCGGGATAGATTAAGGTGGAGAAGCAGTAAAGAAGTATAGGCAGAATACAAGAATCAACCAAGAGTAACAGTAGAGACGGAATGATACCAGATCGTCTTAACTTCCTTACATAGAACGTCAAAGGAAGTATCTCTCTGGAAACTAACATGATCTAGGAAGACCAGGAAATGTGATAAGAGGAAATACACAGTCCAAGTTATTTAGCATTCAATTTGTTTGTGGAACCGTGTAAATTAACCAGTTCATGTAAGTCGCGCTTGCATCCGAAAGTAAAATTAACCACCTGATATTTGGAGGGATGAAGCTTAAGACTATTTGACGAGGACCACTGACTAATTTCTGATAAAAAGTTGTTCATTTTGACTGAGAATTAATAGGCAAAGGAAAAGTTAGGTCATCGGTATACTTAATAAAATTGGCTTCGTCAGAATGGGGCAAGTGATGTAAGAAGATGGAAAACAGAAAAGGAGAAAGAACAGCTACCTGAGGAACACTAGCCCGCATAAGTGAAGCAATAGAGGTCTTCTCATTGTAAACAGTGTACTATTTCCTATCAGAAAAATAAGGATGCAACGACTTTGTAATCCAGCACTGTGCTTGTGACGCAGTAAGCTTGTTTAACAAAAGAGGCCTAGGTACAGGGTCGAAGGTATATGTGTGATCCAGGAAGGCACACCGAACATATTTGACACCTCTATCTAAACCAACGACACCTAGAGACTACACCTATTACGTTTATAAGCAAATTGATTAGATACAACTTCAAGTGAACATAAAGAAGACAGACAAAAGACAACAATGACGACAAACACCAGTCATCGTCAATGGGAGAAGGAAGGAATTCGCTTCTTTCACTTATCTGGGCAGCATAGTTTCACCGATATCGAAGGCCGTATCAGAGAACAAATTCATGCTTTCATTGCAATCCGTGTGAAAATCTACTCCATTCATTTTTATAAGAAACAAGATTTGGATCTTAAACACGAATGTTAAGTCAGTGCTTCCATATGGTTCAGAAACTTGGTGTGTCACGAAAAGATGTTGGAATAGGCTTCAGACTTCCATCAACAGATGTCTTTGCTTGCTGCAGAAGATCAAATGACTGATTATTGAACATGATCAACAAGGAATTGTGGTGACGAACCAATGAAGAAACTATTGGCTAACTAACAAATGGAGTTGGATTGATGAACCTATGCTGAGAAGAAGAGGTGCCGTCGTCAAGTGGCACTCGGGTGAGAAACAACTAGTTAATAAACTTTGATCTAAGAGTACCATGAAGGGAATAAAAGCATATGGGTCAGCCTACAAAGACATCTCAGAGCAGAGAGAAATAGAAATGCACCGGTGAAGCCTTCCACTCAAAACTCAAGGAAATACTAGGAATTTTTATATGCGCTTATTTGAAAAATGTATTAAAAGCCTTATGCATCAGGTTTATAGACAAAGAGAAACAGATTAGCCAAGTATAGGGTTGTAAAAGTATAGAAGATGAACGAGGGGAATACTATGTTTGTGTCAATGCAATCTACTGTAAGAATCAACACCTTATTTCTTCAAATGTTGGTGCCGTACTATTGTTTCTGGTTAATCTCACAAGAAACAGTCTTTGTTGTGCTGTTTTTTTCGTGGAATCAAACTACAATCTGAAGTTTTCTGTTCTGATATTCGCCTCCTTTATAATAATGTCAATAATGTCTTACTGGTAATAGTTAGTCGAATGCTGATTACTCAGCTTCCTTATCTATCATATTACACTTTATTAACTTTTTTCTCTCACTCAAAATCATATGACATGAAATACACCTGTACAAGAGTAGTACTTGTTTTTGAGACAGTTGCATCTCAGCGTGTTTGTTTTTATTACGATATAATGTGATCGATACGATGAATGAGTGAGTGAGTGCATGTGTGTAAAAGGTTACTTTTCTGTACTACTCTTATGTAACAGTGCTGTTGTTTTTTTGTTTTTTTTAACAGAACTGTAGTGATTAGCGATTAGGTAATGAATGATATAATGGTTGTTGATACACACATACATACTGTTATCATTATTATTATTACTATTTGTATTTTTATTACATTATTGAATAAACTTGACTTTTAGTCAGTAATAGTTCATTGACACTTGTTTACCTGTGTGAGCATTTATGTAGGCATGAATTCATTCTAAACACTATCGAATTTGTTTGTATTAAATGATATGTGGTAATATA